AACCACCCACCATCATAATAAATGAAAAAAACATATACAGCACCGGTTAAATTGCCAGAAACAGATGTTGTTTTATGATTTAATTACCTTGTGATGCCATTCTTCTCTATTATCACCAAAATGTAAAACTATCTCTAGTGGAGGTTCGGATGACATAAGTAGCCTGGGTGAGAGACTGCTCTCTCTGACATAGTCTGTCATACAGACCCAGAAACAAATATATCCAATACAGCCCATGCAAGTCTGCCATAATGTTTGGCAAGTCTAGATTACTGCAGTATCTGAAAATGAAAATAGTCTCTGGGCTCCTTTTTATTATATTTTATAACTATAATTTAACAACTGTTTTTTTCTGTAAAATATGTTCATTTCAGAGACTAGATGTTAGTCTATCTCTGACAGTCAGTGGTGTCCTGTTCCACTCTGATATACAGGGCAGTGACCTCCCTGTGCCATCACTCACAGAGGTCCATGGCCACCCAGACTACACTGTCAGTGAGAGGTAGGGTCAGGGTCAGACAGGGGTCGCCAACTGCAGTTCCCCCTTTGTTTTGACAACTAGCCAGACAGAGAAGAATCTAGACTTGCTCCAAGGCTCTAAGGAAAGATAAGTACATGGATGTGTAGTAATTCTATCCTTATAAGATGCAAGTCTAGATAAGCACACAGTGTGGGTACGACTTGTTCTTATTACTTATATTATTATTAAACTTGTGACTTCTATCCCCAATGTATCTGAAGACAGTGGGGGAAAATGCACACCCAAAAATAATGTAAAGACATCAGGCAGATTTAGATTTGTCAAAGTAGTCACTACATTGATATAGTCTTCCTTCTTGATTCTTCATCTGAGGAGGCAGGCTACTATATTGTCTCTGTATGCTGTGATGCTGTCAATATTTGTTGGTGATCATTGCTACACAAGGGTGATATGAGATATATCCCCTGTCTCTATTACCATCCGAGGAGGCCCGCTGCTGTATTGTCTCTGTATGTTGTGATGCTGTCAATATTTGTTGGTGATCATTGCTGCACAAGGGTGATATGACATATATCCCCTGTCCCTATTATCATCCGAGGAGGCAGGCTGCTATATTGTCATGTAGTCAATATTTGTCAGTGATCATTGTTGCACAAGGGTGATATGACATATATTCCCCGGCTCTATTGTGTGTCATGGACATGATGATGAAAGGGACACATCAGCAACCTGTTTCCACAACATTAATTCAATTGCAAACGGGATGGCAGAACGAGAGTATTACAGGCCAGGTGTACAATTTCATCTGGATATCAAATATCTCAGAGCTCTGAACATCTGTCACTGAAACTGTCAGCAAAGAATAGTTTTTGCACATCAGATTATAATACTTATATTACCATGCAGCGTTAGAAATTGGCACTAGTCCTGTAGTCCTTGCCAAACTGCCCAATAGTAAAGGTATCATAAGGACTAGTAGAAATTTGCCATTTTCAGGGGTTTTGCTATATGTTATCATTATAAGGATAAGGGGACTGAATCTGTTAGTTTCTACCACTGCCATGTTTACCAGGCACTATGAACATGATGAAAAAGACAATATTTAACTCTAAAACATCTTGCAATTCTCTCATGTAAACTACACTTTGAATATATTTTTTTTATTTCTGTCAATTGCTTAGCATGTTAACTCTAAAGCTTAACACAAAATTACGGTTAAAAATCATCGTCTGGAATGGAAGTAGCCAGTTTGGAACTAACTGTTCTAAATAGCACTGACTTAATCGGTTCCCATGATTAGTGTTGCATTGACGGATTAACGAGTGTTGGATTAATGAGACTTGACTGTACTTCCGACCAATCAGAGACTTCTTAATCCCGCCAAAATAAACCCCCATAATTGCAGCCTATTTCAGCAAGAGTGGAAACTGGACCATAATAGTCAGTTAACGTCCTTGCCTTCAGAAGATGACCTTTTCTCAAGTCCAGAATGGACTTTGGCTTCCCCCACTTAGAGCATGATAAGTAGGCCGAGTCAGGGAGCATGTCTGGAGTCATAACTCACGACCAACCACACTCAGAGCATGATATTGATAAGTAGGCTGAGTCAGGGAGCATGTCTGGAGTCATAACTCACCACCAGCAAACAACCTGGCATGTCCATGTGTCATGCAGAGATAACACGTAAAACATGACAATACCAGGAAACACTCTCCAAAATGTCTGACATTCAAATGGCCCTGGGGTCAGTAGCCTAAGTCAGTCTACCCAAGGGACTTGCAACTTGACATCATCAACATCAGTCACAGACAGGGTGGGCTGTCACTGCAGGGTTAGAGGGGCGTGTCTGGCTGCTTGAAGTGCTGTACTCTGTAATTCTGATTCTCATAAAATGTCTAGGGTATATTAAAACCGAATGAAATTATCCGAGGTGTGTACTCTGTACTGTGGTAAGTCGATCAAAAGTGTTGTCAAAATAATACATCTTCAACAATAGAACACTGCTGTCAGTTTGCTGGGGAGTTGAACATTGGGCCAGTGTTTAAATATTCCACTGACACACCTCTCCTTCTGCCATTTTGGTAAAGGATGGGCTCAGTCCATAGTAAATTAACAACTTCTAAGTTTTTCAGATGACATTTTTATCGCCTTGCTAAAAATAACTGAAAAAATTCTGATTCTTATAATAAGTCTTGGGTATACAGCGTTAGAAATTGGCCTGTAGTCCTTGCCAATCTGCCCAATAGTAAAGGTATCATAGGGGCCAGTAGAAATTTGCCATTTTTAGGGGTTTTGCTATATGTTATCATTATAAGGACTAGTGGACTGAATCTGTTAGTTTCTACCCCTGGGTATATTTAAACAGAATGACATTATCTGATTTTCCTTAACTAATGTTGAGTATTAACATTCATGTCCCATTTCTTCCACACAGTGCACTACTGCATTGGATTACCTAACACCTTGCCGACATGCAGCATGTGCAGTGTCTATTTCAGCAGAAACTCAAGTCAATCGAATAGTTTCTGTGTCACGCAGCCTGTATTGATTTCTTAGCCTTGGCCTTTGTCCTGTCAACACTTCAATGAAAAAATGTACTTTGATCCTATGTAGACTTGTGCTGTGAGTCATCAGAATTATATCCTATCTACACCTACTCCTTTGGCTTTTTCTTTTGAAAATGGCCGACAACTTCATGATCTGTGACTGGGCATCATCAAAAATTTTGAATGCTAATATAGAATTCATTTTGGGCAAAATGTACTTTGATCCTATGAAGAGTTGTACCATGAGTCTTCAGAATTAAGACATGGAGATGATATGTGTGATGTGAGCGAGACTTATAGATTCCTATATTAAAATACTGTCGCGACTAGATAACCTGAAGGCTCCTCCAGGAACGTCTTCAATGTTCTAACACTGCATGTGGCACAGCTGTCACGGAGAGACATCAATCTTAACCACCAAATTTGTACGCCTCCTTTCATATAATATCAAACATGTAGATTGAATCTGCAAGGGCTGATCCATTTTTAAAAGGGAAGGGTCCAATATATCAATAAACAAGAAATAGATAATTTCTACATTTGGTCTTCAAAAAGGGGGTCTGGACCCTCTGGACCACCCCTTTGGATCCGCCTGTGATCTGATACAAGCCTTTCCTCTGCTCACAGCCCATCATTATTCTGTCCAGTAACCCTACCTACCAATGTCTGATTCATGAACCACAATATCCGGAGTGCAACAAGTGTCGTTTAGGATCAACATGCAATGCATATTCACCACCATGTTTTACACCTGATCTGGCGGTGTGTGAGGAGACACTGACACCTCTGTATGGTAAGTCAACACCTGGAGGGTCGGGGACAACAGATGGGCACCTGTCTGGCCATGCACCACACAGATAACAGGCAACAGGAGCCCCGGGTGGGGCAATATCCCAGCCTGTCACAACATATTAGCATTCACCAAGCTGAGAGACTACTCCGGTTTGTTTGCTGAACGTATTACTTTTGTGACTGGAAGGATCAATACTCACTAGCCTATCACTGGAACTTGGTTCGAAGGTTAATGATAAGACGCTGCTTACCTGACCATGCACCTACCTGACTGTAGGGTTCACTCTAGGAATTTTCTGACATGGGCCCTTTATATGAAACTTTCAAATATTCCAGAGGTACACACACCCATACAACAAAATGTTAAAATGCCCCATTGTATTGGAAAATGTGGGCCTTTTTTTCAAATTTAGGTGCTAAAAGCAGAAGGTCCCATCCCAGAATTATCCCCACGACTGCCATAGCTAGGCTAATTCTTGACACACTCAAGACTCCCAAATGTTTCTACAAGGGCTTGGACGGGTAATGCGGGTACTCTGGTCGGGTGGGTACTGAGTAGGACCCGGAGAGGGAATTGCACTACCCGGATCCGTGGTTAGTCACGTCATATATGGTTTAATGACAAAAAAGTTTCTGGAACTCTATAAGTTGACACTTTCAGTGACTAATGTTTGCATTTCTTTTTGACTATACACACATTCCTTCTGACTTTATAATGTATGAATAAAGATAAAACTTAAGTCAACTTCGTTTTATGCATATAACATGTATCTAAATACAATTTGCCAGGGCTACAGTCAAACTCTTCCCAGTCGGGCATTAGGACCTGTCTCTTGAGACCTACAGCGGGTACCCGGGTAGGGTCCGGTAATCGTGGGGTGGGTACCCGGGTAGTAAATATGGTCTCGTCCCAGCCCTAGTTTCTACCATGAATAAACTTCAATAATGACAATGTCTTCAGTAACATTATTCATTGAAATAACTTATTTAAATCCTCTTACTTAAGTTGCAATCACTTGCCGAAGGTTAAAACAAAAATACGTCCGCGTTGTGGGCGTTAGGCCTAACATAGCAACATTTCTTTTTCAAGTTTACGAACAATGTGAGCGTTCTCATGCAGCCATCGTTATTGTAAGAGTTGGGAGACAGATGGGACAGAAGGAATATAGGAAAATACTCACGAGGAACCTTGTGCTACTCGTGCCCTGGTCGATGGCACCCACGAGAGGACCTCGACTCTTCGACATTGTGACTGTCGGCTGCAAATGCTGTCACTGCTACAGACTAAGAGTTATCTCCCTTCCCTGGTTTCTGTGAAAAGTTTACCTGGCTTTCAGAAGGGTTGGGATTGGGAATCATCGATTATTTTTCAAATCTGTATATATTTTGTGTGTGTACGGAAGCCTTTTAGGGCCATTTTTCTTTTCGATGCTATCTTGAAATTTCAACTTTTTATCTTGAAATTTCAAGAAAGAAATAAAAAACCAAATTGCCTTAAAAAGTTTCCGTATATATGTTCTGAAAGATGGCACAATTTAGCGCCGATGAAATAATTCTCTAAATATATGAACTTGTAAAGACTACCAGTTTGTTCCTCTATCTTCACGAATCTAACAGGGTAGATCTAGCTTCACTGTAATTAGTCCTACAGATAAAGTGGGTCAAATGTTTCGAACGGCGTCATAAACCTTAAGCAATTTTAAGATTTTGTGCCTTGATTATTACATATAATACAGGCATCTGTGTTTATTGTATTGTGTGGGGCGGTCGGGTAGCCTAGTGGTTAAAGCGTTTGCTCGTCACGCCGAAGACCCGGGTTCGATTCCCGACATGGGTACAATGTGTGAAGCCCATTTCTGGTGTCCCCCGCCGTGATATTGCTGGAATATTGCTAAAAGCGGCGTAAAACCATACTCACTCACAATTTATTGTGTATGTTATGTATACTGGGTATATGGGGTATGCGACATATCTTATTCCGGTGATTTGTCAAGGAGCGATGCGGTACTGGAAAAGACATGCATCTCATTAATCTGTACTGGTTTACTACCTTCTGGCGGGTGGCTTGTTTACAAGAACTGAAAATCAAAGAAACTAAATTGTGCTATTTGGGTTTTGTTAAGTTACTAGAGGAAGTGTTCTGCTGTTGCATGCTAATAGGAAGATATTTAATTCTAACATCTCCGCTACTTTCAGCAATGATAACACTTCACAGATAGTGGACGGGAATATACCCGCGGACTTGTTATTCTCCCAACACTTTCTGTATTCTATTCAGTGATCGGCATCAATTAAGTGTGTGGTTTTATTTTATTTATTTATTTTGTAAAGACATTCCACCCAACGCTGGAACTCTCTGCTCGACTCACCTACACTAACGTGTATGTTTTGGCAAAGAAGTATATTTAAATTTCTTCACTGACATACTCACCGAGATTTGCTCAAACCCATGCTAACCATTATCCAAGCATTGTTTGATAGACATCACTTGGAAGTTGGCGGATGACAAGGTAGACACAATTGTATGGATAACAACTTCTTTAAAACTGTAAAAAAGCGACGTTTCGGTATAGATCCTTATACAGCTAGACTGAATGAGGGACATTGTACAGAATATATATATAGTAGGTGGAGGGTTTACAGTAGAGGATTAACAGTAACAACAATTGCATACATGAGTGGGATATCATGAGTAAGTGTTGACAACAGAAGGATAATACTGTCACAACACGATGGACAGAAAACACATAGGTGGAAGCCAATGGGACATGAAACCAATTAAACAGGATAAGCGATTGTTGCTTAATGAGTTCATAGGAGGCTGATGGGATGAAATAGCCTTGATGGCTTGCAGAGTAAGTGTTGGGCAGTTGGATCGTTTTGATCAAACTCAGACATCGTGAATATTTGTTTGGTTGTTTGTTGTTTAACGCCGCATTCAGCAATATTCCAGCTATATGACGTAAATAATCGAGTCTGGACCAGACAATCCAGTGAGCATCCATCCACAATTTTGGGATACGATGACATGCATCAGCCAAGTCAGCGAGACTGACCACCCAGTCCCGTTAGTCGCCTGTTAGGCAAGTATGGGTTGCTGAAGACCTATTCTACCCCGGATCTTCACGGGCCTCATCGTTAAACGTGTCGCCAAGCTGTACAGGAACCAACGATAATGGAACCGTAACACAGTATACTTTTTAAAGTCTTTTTTCAAACTTCTATTAGTGCAACGGCCAGTGCTTGCTGGGACCTATACTATATTCTAGGCCGGCATAACCCACGGGTACATCAATGCTGTGAGATGTACAGCCTCTGAAACCAGCTTGCATTCAGACGCTGGCAATAGCTGTTGGTTTGTTGTTTAACGCCGCACCCAGCAGTTTTGCAGCTATACGACGGCGGTCTGTAAATAATCGAGTCTGGACCGGACAACCCAGTGATTGACATCATGAGCATCGATCCACGCAATTGGGATACGATGATATGTATCAGCGAAGTCAGCAAGCCTGACCACCTACACCAACATGTCATCGTATCACAATTGCGTGTTTCGATGCTCATGATGTCACTGGATTGTCTGGTCCAGACTCGATTATTTACAGACCGTCGTCATGTAGCTGGAATATTGCTGAGTGCGGCGTTAAACAACAAACAAAACAAAAGGTTCAGGGATGTGAACAGGTTTTCCCGAAAAAAAAGAGGAAATGTCTAGGGGGGGGGGGGGGGGGGGGTGGGGGATTGTCCGCGTTTCCGCGGAGATTTCACATCCCTGAAGGTTGCATGTCGTGTCTACCACCACCGACAGGATCTTTAGGAGTTGATGCCTCGCAGATATGAATGAGCTTCCACTTATTAAAGCCAGCCAATGTCTCTGTTGTATATGTATGTTGATATGTGTATTCCGTGTGTGAGTGAGTGAGTGAGTGAGTGAGTGAGTGAGTGAGTGAGTGAGTGAGTGAGTGAGTGAGTTTGGTTTAATGCTGCCTTGAACAGTATTCCAGTTATATCAGAGAAAGTCGGCTTGAGGTGGAAAGAAAGCCCGCAGCGATGCAGGTCTTAGACGCGATTACCCTGGCGCTGGTAAAGCAACATCTCCCCGAGGCAAGGGCGTTAACTGACTCTAAAAGTCCAGTTTCCACCCTTGCTGTACTAGGCTGCAATTACGGTTTATATTTTCCCTGGACTAACGAGTCTAACATAGTTTAATCAAAATCGCGTAACGAAATCGACATCCGGTTCGAAAACAACATGGATTTCAACCTGCAAATTTTGGTCGACAGCAGGATTTGCAAAAGATGTGTACCGTCAACTGGTCGTCGACAGATATTTTACAAATCTTTTCATGTTTTTAATCAAGGTGCTCACGTGATTTGATGCACTTCGCGAGGTAAGACCTGTTTTAATACAATGTATATCTTGATTATCGATCAGATCATCTTGACTGGGCGCCGCCATTTGGTTTGAGTGAGTGAGTGAGTGACATGAGAGGTGGAATCTGATTGGTCCATAGGAGAGGCATAGAAGGGACATAACTCGTAATAGCCACTGGTGGCGCTACCATAGAGCCCCGAAATTCCAGCCAAGGTCTGCAAGGGTAAAAACTTGACTTTTACAGTGAGTTACCTCCCTTCACTCGGAAGAAGATAAACCCAGGCACTCAGTGTCAGAGTGAGTGAGTGAGTTGGGTTCAACACCGCTCTTAACAGTATTCCAGTTATATCACGAGGAGGAGAGCCCGAAGTGATCCAGGTGTCCCGACTTTAAGCACTTCAGTGAAACCCACGAGGTTTGGTACTGGTATAAACCTATAAATATAATTGGGGCGAACCGGGATTCGAACACCCACAATCATAGGCTTGTGGCGTGTCCAAGATACGCAACACTGCACCGCAAATCGCGGCGCCTTAAACGACTGGCCACCCATGCCCACAGGCACCTAATGATTCCATTATACTTATGATTATTGTTATCATTATTATTATATACATTAAAATTAAAATAACATAATGCAGCAATGAGGGTTTGCGTGATCCTGGCACAGTCAGGCCAGCTCAGGGCCCATGTCCCCTCTACACGCAGTCCAGACAGCGAATGGGACTTCTCCCAGCAAGCGCTGCCTCATCAAACCCACCGAGAGCTTTTCGGAGAATATGAGACTCCCCAACACTGCAGCCTTCTGCATTACCCAGATTGTCAGAAGGGCTGTATTGCTGGTAGCAAACCCGGGTACTCTCCAAATGTTATTATTAATACTATTATTAATATTTTTTAGTGATAGCTGGTCAAAACCGTTGTTCCGCTGTCATATAGCTGTAATATTGCAGAGTGCCGCGTTAAACAACAAACAAAACACTGTTGTATAACATGATGCCAAACAACGAAGATAGGAAATATATTTTTATATTTCATAAATAATGATATGATTGACAATGCATTAGAAGTCAAATTACAGAAATAAAGATGAGAAACCCACTAGTACGTAGGTCCTCCAACAAAGATACAAGCTGATTGTTGGAGGGCAAATAAAGTATATTAAGACTAGCCAACCAAACTTGCAGGAGTCCACTGACTGAAATAAAAAAACAAATCAAGAACACAAACACAACATGAAGTGAGTTGAGATTCACACCATGCCTCCTCCCCAACACAGGAGTGAGTTTAGTTTTACGCCGCTTTTAGCAATATTCCAGCAATATCACAGCGGGGAACACCAGATATGGGCTTCACACATTGTACCCATGTCGGGAATCGAACCCGGGTCTTCGGCGTGACGAGCGAATGCTTTAACCACTAGGCTACCTGACTTCCCCCCCAACACAGGAGGGTCTCGCAGTCTCTGTCACGATTTACATTATTTCCCCTGGAGTCTCATTCCCTCACACATGCTGTCATGTCTGCATCATTTCTTACTCTGACCACCATCAACAACATCATAAATAAAAGAGAAATATGGCACAAACTTAAACAAAACAGCAACAATACTCACCACCAAAAGAAACGCGATTACCATACATGTTTAACATGAAGACTTAGGCTAAAGAATGAGTGAGTGAGTTTGGTTTTACGCCGCTTTTAGCAATATTCCAGCAATATCACGGCGGGGGGACACCAGAAATGGGCTTCACACATTGTACCCATGTCGGGAATCGAACCCGGGTCTTCGGCGTGACGAGCAAACACTTTAACCACCAGGCTACCCGACCGCCCCCTTAGGCTAAAGAAAGTCTCAGGCAACATCTATATCATCATAAAGTCTGCTCCATGTTTCGTTTTTATTTCCATTTTCCCACCCAAAATCTTTAACTAATCCGCATCTCCAACAAGTTACCCTGGCAGTTTAATGCCACAATACTTAAGAACAACATGATTTCTCCAAAATCATTGTAAACAAAATTTGATTACATACTAACTTGAACAACCAAATAAATAAAAAACCCACCTACCCGTCCAATAATTTTAAAAAACACTGCCAGAGAACCAATTCTAGTAATTGTTAAGCCTGACTCACATTCAAGAGATATTAGACTGGTTCGATGTATAAACAACATACCGGTATGTTGTGTGACCCGATGTTCATGAACACATCGCATGTGACGTCACAGACCCATGACTCGAATCGCACAATTTGTTTCGTGCATTATTAGCGTGTAAAGTTTGGAAATCATGTGCAGCATATCGTGATAATAATAAAGCCACTATGGGTTAACACTTGGCTGAAGTGGGACACACAAGAAGTACACATCACTTCTTTACGTACAGACTTCTCTATTTGGTTCTTGGGTTGGCGTTTCTTTTGGTGGTGAGTGTTTTTCCACTATATCTGACATAAGTGACACAGCATCCATCTACATGGAGCATCCTCTTCTGGGTGTCACACAATGTGACAAAATCTCGTACCCTCTTCACTTCTCCCGTCTAAAACACCCAGCATGAACTTGTGTCTACTCCAGTGTAAGTGATGGCCGCACCCTCTTTGGTGCAACACTAACATAAGTCTTGGCGCTCAGTTGTAAATCAGCTTATCTTTAGATGATTCAGGCTAGATTCACATTCAGTAAAATAATTGACAGCTCACACATTAAAACATCTCTAAAAATATAAATGTCACTGGTCCCATCAGAGCGCATAAAGCCACAGTGTTAAAGAGTCTGGAGCAGCTGTCAGCTGATGATAAGAAAAAATGTCTTCAGTATAAATGCCCTAACACCATGATATAACCCAGTCATGCTTGTTACAACACAAGGATATAACCCAGTAATGCTTGTTACCCTCTTTGGTGCAACACTAACATAAGTCTTGGCGCTCAATTATAAATCAGCTTTTTTTAGATAATTCAGGCTAGATTCGCATCCTTGAGACCTTCAGAAAAATAACTGACAGCTCGCACATTACAACATCTCTAAAAAGTAAAAGTCACTGGTCCCATCAGAACGCATAAAATCACATTGTTAAAGATTCTGGAGCAGCTGTCAGCTGATGATAAGAAAACCATATGTTACATTTTAAAATGTTTGCTTGCATACGCCCAACATAACATCCATAACAATATTAGAAATATTATATGTCATGGCCTACAACGTACGAAAACAAATATGAGGAAAATAATAGCAGATGCCTTCAGTATAAATGCCCTAACACAAGGATATAACCCAGTAATGCTTGTTACAACACAAGCATATAACCCAGTCACGCTTGTTACAACACAATGATATAACCCAGTAATGCTTGTTACAACACAAGGATATAACCCAGTCATACATGGAATGAGTGAGTGAGTGAGTTGGGTTTAACGCCGCTTTAAACATTATTTCAGTTATATCACGGCGTGTCAGCTTAATGTGGGAGGAAAGCCCGAAGTGATGCAGGTCTCAGACGTTTAACACTTCGGTGAAACCCACGAGCACGGGTATGGTGCTGACAAACCTAGAAACATAATCAGGGCGAACCAGGATTCAAACCCACAATCATCGGTTTCTGGCGTGCCCAAGGGACGGATTCTGCACAGCGAATCACGGCGCCTTAGACGACTGGGCCACCCGTGCCCCCTACATGGAATGACACAGGCATGACCCAGTTACACCTGTAATAACACAGGCATGACCCAGTTACACCTGTAATAACACAGGCATGACCCAGATACACATGGTATAACACAGGCATCATCCAGTTACACATGGTATAACACAAGCATATAACCCAGCTACACATGGTATAACACAGGCATGACCCAGTTACACATGGTGTGACACAAGCATGACCCAGATACACATGGTATAACACAGGCATGATCCAGTTACACATGGTATAACACAGGCATGACCCAGTTACACATGGTATAACACAGGCATGACCCAGTTACACATGGTATAACACAAGCGTATAAACCAGTTACACATGGTATAACACAAGCATTTAACCCAGTCATGCATGGGATAACACAAGCATATAACCCAGTCATGCATGGGATAACACAAGCATATAACCCAGTCATGCATCGGATAACACAAGCATATAACCCAGTTACACATGGTATGACACAAGCATGACCCAGTTACACATGGAATAACACAAGCATGACCTAGATGCACATGGTATAACACAAGCATGACCCAGTTATACATGATATAACACAAGCATATAACCCAGCTACACATGGTATAACACAAGCATATAACCCAGCTACACATTGTATAACACAAGCATATAACACAGCTACACATTGTATAACACAAGCATATAACAACATGGTACAACATTAACAGGAGGAACCTACAAGTCTCTAACTTCGGCCCTTCTAACACAGTTACTCTGCTCCGCCTGAGGTCCGAACACTGGCTCTGCACTGTGGCCCACCAGAGCTATACTTTGCTCCGTCGTGCTCTGGGAGGGCAAGGTGACAGTACTTGGACTGAATGCTTTCAGCACATCCAGCTTCCTGGGTATGATACCTAAACTGAACAAACTCCGGAACAATTCGGATATGATGAAAATAGTCAAAGCTGAGCAGATCATTGCAAAGGTTCTGAAGGGAAACAGTTGTCCATGAGCTGGTGTGTAATACGGGTAGGGAATAAATGGCACCAGATGAAGATCTCTGTCGCCTGCACCCAGTCTGAGGAGCAATCCCACGCCGTAGCCGATGAGGGCGCCGTAGGCGTTGGTGCGAGGAAGGAAGAGGGCACACGACAGCTGCGGCAACACAATCACAAACACAATGTCGGCTGCCAGGATGAACAGTCCGTAGATGATCCGCACATGAAGGGAGATAACTGTGGCCAACACGCCCACTGTAACCACGGCAACACGCTGGACCACCAGCAGCTCCCAGTTCTTGGCCTAAAACAGACAAAGTAGTTATTGTCAGTAGACGTGAGTGTTCATTCAAGTTTTATTCTACTCTATCACAACCTCTCCCCTTTTTGTTTCAAGGTGTTTTTGTTTTCATGTACAAACGTTTTAAACTGTACCAACTTGTAACTGACAGTCGCCATGGTTAAAGCCAGCACCTGGAGACGTAACTACGCTCTGCTATCAGTGTTCCTTAAAGTAATATTCTGCTCAGCCACCACCACCAGACAGTCACAAACCTCACACACCATCTGCTTTTCCACAACTGACAGAGTAAAGGTTTTACATCCGAGCAAAGTATCGCGTTTCTGGTGACTTTGGAAACTTTGTGATTGGAAATGATATGAGTGAGTGAGTGAGTATGGTTTTACGCCGCTTTTAGCAATATTCCAGCAATATCACGGCGGGGGACACCAGAAATGGGCTTCACACATTTTACCCATGTCGGGAATCGAACCCGGGTCTTCGGCGTGACGAGCGAATGCTTTAACCACGAGGCTACCCGACAGCCCCGGAAATGATAGGAATAAAGACCATGCATATAGTTAGCAGCGAGTTGGGTGTAACACTGTTTGAACACTTCATATCCCAGTTTTTCAAGGTATTTGGGGAGGAAAGTCTGCTGTGATGCACAGAGTTTTATCTGGACCTGCCTAGGGGCTGATATTCAGGCCTAAGTCTGCTGTGATGCACAGAGATTTATCTGGACCTGCCTAGGGGCTGATATTCAGGCCTAAGTCTGCTGTGATGCACAGAGTTTTATCTGGACCTGCCTAGGGGCTGATATTCAGGCCTAAGTCTGCTGTGATGCACAGAGTTTTATCTGGACCTGCCTAGGGGCTGATATTCAGGCCTAAGTCTGCTGTGATGCACAGAGTTTTATCTGGACCTGCCTAGGGGCTGATATTCAGGCCTAAGTCTGCTGTGATGCACAGAGTTTTATCTGGACCTGCCTAGGGGCTGATATTCAGGCCTAAGTCTGCTGTGATGCACAGAGTTTTATCTGGACCTGCCTAGGGGCTGATATTCGGGCCTAAGTCTGCTGTGATGCACAGAGTTTTATCTGGACCTGCCTAGGGGCTGATATTCGGGCCTAAGTCTGCTGTGATGCACAGAGTTTTATCTGGACCTGCCTAGGGGCTGATATTCAGGCCTAAGTCTGCTGTGATGCACAGAGTTTTATCTGGACCTGCCTAGGGGCTGATATTCAGGCCTAAGTCTGCTGTGATGCACAGTGATTTATCTGGACCTGCCTAGGGGCTGATATTCGGGCCTAAGTCTGCAGCAAAATGTGACAAACAATTCCCACAATGGACCTAAGTTTCTCAATTCATGTTAATAACCAATATCTTATTTCCTGGCTTTGTAGAAATAACCTGTATTTCACTTATCACAAGGTCAGGTGAAATGGGGTTTAACATCGCGTCCAAGATTATTGCACTTATATAGCGACATGCATGTATGTGTGTGTGTGTGGCTGCTTGTACTAGTCCGGAATGATGCCGATTTATAGTGCTAGCTCAATGAGGTACCATGCCGCAGTTTAACATGAATACCCAACTCAGACACAGTATACTGACTCCGAGCCAACCAGTCCTTGTTTTAGCCCCTTAATGCCGAGCGGGGTACCATCTTTTAATGTCTTTTGGTATGACGCGGTCGGGGATCGAACCCAGGACCTTCCGCTCTTCAGGCGGACGCTCTACCACTAGACCACGGAGGCGGTCACTTATCACAGGACGGATGAGTGGGAACAGGCTTAGTTATGTAGTATCTGATCACTTTGCACGGCTGCAACGAATACACTATGAGGTGAATATGCTTCCTATCACAAATATAGGGTAACAAATATGAATATTTATTCACGAAGTCAGCAGTTGATGTATTACTTATCATATTCAGTTAAACACAAAAATAAAACTATTTCACATGGTTTGACAGTGATGACAGCCTACCTGAGGCCTGATGATGTTGTTGTAGATGTTGTGTGTGAACATGCTGCTGGAACCGAGGATGGAGCTGTCCATCGATGACATCACTGCCGCCGATATTGCACCGAGACCTGTAACAGTCGTGTGGCTTCGATTTTTCAAAACATATACCGTATTCGACGTAATAAGCGCCCAGTGCGCTCTCAAAATTAGAAATAGGGGGCTCTTATTAGAATATTATTTTGGTGAAAAAAACAGAGTTGAAAGATAAATTTCGTGGTTTATGCTGACAGCCTGAAGTGTTTATGTACGACAGATATATTTTTCCAGAATTTAATTGCCCATAATTAAGGGTGCATATAAAACATGAGTGCGTATTATACGCGAATAAATAAGTCTGGTGCACATTGATCAATCGGAAGGTGTGCTAATTGGGGTTGTTCACCAGCCAATAACTTAGCAAATGTCGCTGTGGGCGCTTATTAGAGCGGGGCGCTTATTACATCGAATACGGTACTTGATAGCTGTCGCAGCCACATCACAAACTGAAAAAAGCTTACGTAGCCAAAGCCAATGCCAAGTAACTTCTTTGAGAGGCATTAAGAAGTTGGAGTTATAAGTAAGGATATGACATACGGATGAACAACTTCTTTATTACAATTAGGAGTGACGTTTTCAAGCAACAAACTCGTACCTAAAGGCCTACAGCTAAGAAGCCCTGTCAGAACATAACAGGCTTCTCTACTCCAGCAGTGTAACTGCATCTTAATCCTACTTAACTGTATAAACACTGCCTCCTACTTGTATATATACTTGTCAACCATACTCTGTACATCACTTGCTTGACAACGGTGTTAGAACCTACACCGAAACGTCGCTCTTAATTGTAATAAAGAAGTTGTTCATCCATATATCTTATCCTTACTCAATGCCATGTAGAACAAGATATGTGACACTAGTATTGACATGTACCGTAGATCAGGAGAAGAAGGGATGGGAACAAACAGACTGAGGGATAATGGATGAAAGCCGAAAGTTCACAACCACGTTGTCAAGTTTTGCTAAACTCACAGAGACATGAACAAAACATCACTCACCTAGTAAAGCCACCGGTGTCGGCGTGAACTCCTTCAACACCAGCGGCAACACCATCCTCGACTCGCCTATCTCCAGCGGCGACACCTTCAGGGATGTGACATTCCAGTCTACAACATCAACAACAGGCATGGAATACATCAACAACAGGCATGGAATACATCAACAACAGGCATGGAATACATCAACAACAGGCATGGAACCCATTAACAACAGGCATGGAATACATCAACAACAGGCATGGAATACATCACAAGGTCAGGTGAGGTGAAATGGGGTTTAACATCATGTCCAAGATTATTGCACTTATATAGCGACTTGCATGTACGTGTGTGTGTGTGTGTGGCTGCTTGTACTTGTCCGGACTGATGCCGATTTATAGTGCTAGCCCACTGAGATACCATGCCGCAGTTTAACATGAATACCCCACTCAGACACAGTATACTGACTCCAGGCCGACCAGTCCTTGTTTAAGCCCCTTCATGCCGAGCGCCAGACAGGGTAACAAGTACCATCTTTTAACATCTTTTGGAAGACGTCGCAGGGATTGAACCCCGGAACTTCCACATCTGGATTGTACAGGCAAACATCGAGATGAGGACAGACCTACGTACCAGCAGAGACAGAGGCGGCTCCAATGAGGACAGACTTACGTACCAGCAGAGACAGAGGTGGCTCCAATGAGGGCAGACCTACGTACCAGCAGAGACGGAGGCGGCTCCAATGAGGGCAGACCTACGTACCAGCAGAGACGGAGGTGGCTCCAATGAGGGCAGACCTACGTACCAGCAGAGACGGAGGCGGCTCCAATGAGGGCAGACCTACGTACCAGCAGAGACGGAGGTGGCTCCAATGAGGGCAGACCTACGTACCAGCAGAGACGGAGGCGGCTCCAATGAGGGCAGACTTACGTACCAGCAGAGACGGAGGCGGCTCCAATGAGGACAGACTTACGTACCAGCAGAGACGGAGGCGGCTCCAATGAGGACAGACTTACGTACCAGCAGAGACGGAGGCGGCTCCAATGAGGATTGAGGGGATGACGAGGACCAGGGCGCCGCAGCCGCCAATGATGGACAACACACGGGCCTGAGTGCCGCTGCGGACGGCCAGCACTCGCTGGAAGTACGCCTGCCACGGGATCGTGCCGAAGGTCTAGGAAAACACACAAGATTGGCAACATTCAGATGTGAACATATCGGTGAAGTACTTCCTAGAGGTTGGTTCATGACTCATACTTCTTAGTGGTAACACTGTATTTCATTACTTGAGCAGATATATAATGACAGATATGGAAACAACACTGTAACACAGTATGAAAGCTGTGGTGGGTATTGTCACAACTCAAAAGTATTCCCCGAATTCTATGGCAAGTCCAAGTAACACAGATCAACAGCTTACCATTGCTATGAACAAATCGACCCATGTGAGGCTACTTGTCCTGTCTAAGCTGCCCATCCATTGGCTGGAATTGGCTGTAATGTCTCCAACGTTTTCATTGGTCAAAACAAATGGCACAGACAACACCTGAAATGACAACCATATAAAAATTACCAAACTTTTGACCACACTCTCCTAATTATCCGGCTACACCCCGACTACACGCCGACACTGTCACCCTCCTACTGTCACACCTTCCTAATGATCAAGCCACACCTTCCCACTTATCAGGCCACACCCTCCTACTGATCAGGCCACATCTTCCTAATGATCAAGCCACACCCTCCCACATATCAGGCCACACCCTCCTACTGATCACGCCACACCTTCCTAATGATCAAGCCATACCCTCCCACTTATCAGGCCACACCCTCCTACTGATCAGGACACACCAAATACTCACCAGGCCGAACGTGATGAGTGCCAGTTGGGCTATGTCTGTGTAGGCAACAGCAATGAGCTGACCAATCATAGTATAGGAGACTGTGACTGCTGATGACACACAGATCGTCGCTGTCAGCGGCAGGTCAATGATGACACTCAGACTTGTCCCTGAAGAAGAGTGAGTGGGTGAGTGACAAGCGTCAGTGACCGGACACGGACAGAGCACCATTCAAGAACATGTCAACACAACACAACAACTCTAACCTTTAATAAGCCAAACTTTCCAATATTTGTTTGTGTGTCTGTTGTTTAACGCCACACTCTGTAAATAATCAAGTCTGGACCAGACAATCCAGCAACTGATATGAGCATGGCTCCACGCAATTAGGACATGGCAACATGCATCAACCAAGTCAGCAAACCTGGGCACCTGATCCTGTTAGTCGTCTCTTATGACAAGAATGGATTACTGAAGACCAATTCTAACCCGAAACTTTGCAGGTCTTATTTCCAATGAGCATGTGTGGAAGTTTCTGAATGGCAGGTCCTATGTTTCAACATTTACTTCACAAGAGAGAGAGTGAATGATGCTTAACTCAGTGGTCAGCAAAGTACATCTGGAGGCACCTGCCTGTCCAACACTCACCCAATGCAGACAGTATGGAGCTTGTCCAACACTCACCCAATGCAGACAGTATGGAGCTTGTCCAACACTCACCCAATGCAGACAGTATGGAGGCTGTCCAGAAGAGGTCTCCACACAGGGTGGCCAGGTACACCAGCAGCACCTGGAGGTGGCCGTACTGATCCTGGAACGGGTCGAGCATCGTCACGTACTTCCTGTCTCGCATCACGCGGGCAAAGATAATGCCCCCTGAAACACAGCATTGACACCAGGATAACATCAATTTGGACACATCATCGACACCAGGATAACCTCAATTTGGACACAGCATTAACAGCAGGATAACATCAATTTGGACACAGCATCAACACCAGGATAACATCAAATTTGGACACAGCATCGACACCAGGATAACATCAATTTGGACACATCATCGACACGCGGATAACATCAATTTGGATACAGCATCGACAGCAGGATAACATCAATTTGGACACAGCATTGACACCAGGATAACCGCAATCAGGAAGATATTGCTTCTAGTTCGAACATCTTGGGCTCAATAATGGCCTCTGAATAGACCAAAGTCAAGATCACTTTCATTAGTGTTCATTGAAATGTATAATTCTAATAAGTGAATAACAAGACATTCACGGGCAAGTCTACGAGAGTAGCATTAGTGAGGAAACATCTGAAGGGAGGTAACTCTGTAGACAAGTGATCAGACAAGTTCAGGGTCCAATGTACTATTAGAAGGGAGGTAACTCCGTAGACAAGTGATCAGACAAGTTCAGGGTCCAATGTACTATTAGAAGGGAGGTAATTCCGTAGACAAGTGATCAGACAAGTTTAGGGTCCAATGTACTATCAGAAGGGAGGTAACTCCGTAGACAAGTGATCAGACAAGTTGAGGGTCCAATGTACTATCAGAAGGGAGGTAACTCCGTAGACAAGTGATCAGACAAGTTGAGGGTCCAATGTACTATCAGAAGGGAGCTAACTCCGTAGACAAGTGATCAGACAAGTTCAGGGTCCAATGTACTATCAGAAGGGAGGTAACTCCGTAGACAAGTGATCAGACAAGTTCAGGGTCCAATGTACTATCAGAAGGGAGGTAACTCTGTAGACGAGTGATCAGACAAGTTCAGGGTCCAATGTACTATTAGAAGGGAGGTAACTCTGTAGACAAGTGATCAGACAAGTTCAGGGTCCAATGTACTATCAGAAGGGAGGTAACTCCGTAGACGCATGATCAGACAAGTTGAGGGTCCAATGTACTATCAGAAGGGAGGTAACTCTGTAGACGCATGATCAGACAAGTTGAGGGTCCAGTGTACTATCAGAAGGGAGGTAACTCCGTAGACAAGTGATCAGACAAGTTGAGGGTCCAATGTACTATTAGAAGGGAGGTAACTCCGTAGACAAGTGATCAGACAAGTTCAGGGTCCAATGTACTATCAGAAGGGAGGTAACTCCGTAGACAAGTGATCAGACAAGTTCAGGGTCCAATGTACTATTAGAAGGGAGGTAACTCTGTAGACGAGTGATCAGACAAGTTCAGGGTCCAATGTACTATTAGAAGGGAGGTAACTCCGTAGACAAGTGATCAGACAAGTTCAGGGTCCAATGTACTATCAGAAGGGAGGTAACTCCGTAAAAGCATGATCAGACAAGTTGAGGGTCCAATGTACTATCAGAAGGGAGGTAACTCCGTAGACAAGTGATCAGACAAGTTGAGGGTCCAATGTTCTATCAGAAGAGGGGAACTCCGTAGACAAGTGATCAGACAAGTTCAGGGTCCAATGTACTATTAGAAGGGAGGTAACTCTGTAGACAAGTGATCAGACAAGTTCAGGGTCCAATGTACTATTAGAAGGGAGGTAACTCCGTAGACAAGTGATCAGACAAGTTCAGGGTCCAATGTACTATCAGAAGGGAGGTAACTCCGTAGACAAGTGATCAGAAAAGTTGAGGGTCCAATGTACTATCAGAAGGGAGCTAACTCCGTAGACAAGTGATCAGACAAGTTGAGGGTCCAATGTACTATCAGAAGGGAGGTAACTCTTTAGACAATTGATCAGACAAGTTTAGGGTCCAATGTACTATTAGAAGGGAGGTAACTCTGTAGACAAGTGATCAGACAAGTTCAGGGTCCAATGTACTATTAGAAGGGAGGTAACTCCGTAGACAAGTGATCAGACAAGTTCAGGGTCCAATGTACTATTAGAAGGGAGGTAACTCCGTAGACAAGTGATCAGACAAGTTCAGGGTCCAATGTACTATTAGAAGGGAGGTACCTCCGTAGACAAGTGATCAGTCAAGTTCAGGGTCCAATGTACTATCAGAAGGGAGGTAACTCTGTAGACAAGTGATCAGACAAGTTCAGGGTCCAATGTACTATTAGAAGGGAGGTAACTCTGTAGACAAGTGATCAGACAAGTTCAGGGTCCAATGTACTATTAGAAGGGAGGTAACTCCGTAGACAAGTGATCAGACAAGTTCAGGGTCCAATGTACTATTAGAAGGGAGGTAACTCCGTAGACAAGTGATCAGACAAGTTCAGGGTCCAATGTACTATTAGAAGGGAGGTAACTCCGTAGACAAGTGATCAGTCAAGTTCAGGGTCCAATGTACTCAAGCTCCTCACAGCGATAGTACGTTCCCGGAGCTCTCTATACTATCGCTGCCACCAGTCAAAACTCCCCACTGTGAATAAGTGGCAACAACCATGCTTGGAGTTGAACTCGCAACCGAATAACCGTTATGTTTACAAACAAGTGACGACTGTCGTGACGCCGAATACACTTGTCGCTGCTAAATTACTTTCTTAGTTTGTCACTTTGAATCTCTGTTTCATTAAAACTATCGTGTTATTGACATAGTAAGAATGTAAGGGAGAAGTTGGTTGATTTTCCGTTAGTCTGCAATCTCGAACCAATCTGATTATCAAAACAACAAAGTAAATTCATCTCGAAAACATGGTCAGTCGTAAACCTTTTCAAATTGAAATATGATGGCATTCCCAAAGACATAAACAAAAGTATGAACGTTACTACATATAGGGTTGGAGGGCAAATTTCAAGATTCTTGTAATGGCCGCGCCCACACTGGTGGCAGCGATGTTACCGAGAGTGTAACGAAGGTGTCACGCGCTGGGAAGGAGCTTGCAATGTACTATCAGAAGGGAGGTAACTCTGTAGACAAGTGATCAGACAAGTTCAGGGTCCAATGTACTATCAGAAGGGAGGTTACTCCGTAGACAAGTGATCAGACAACTTCAGGGTCCAATGTACTATTAGAAGGGAGGTAACTCCGTAGACAAGTGATCAGACAAGTTCAGGGTCCAATGTACTATCAGAAGGGAGGTTACTCCGTAGACAAGTGATCAGACAACTTCAGGGTCCAATGTACTATTAGAAGGGAGGTAACTCCGTAGACAAGTGATCAGACAAGTTCAGGGTCCAATGTACTATCAGAAGGGAGGTTACTCCGTAGACAAGTGATCAGACAACTTCAGGGTCCAATGTACTATTAGAAGGGAGGTAACTCCGTAGACAAGTGATCAGACAAGTTCAGGGTCCAATGTACTATCAGAAGGGAGGTAACTCTGTAGACAAGTGATCAGACAAGTTGAGGGTCCAATGTACTATCAGAAGGGAGGTAACTCAGCACTATTAGAACGGGGTAAACATCAACTATCATGGGCTCCTGCAAGACTCATGAACTGTAATGTACTAATGGGAGGTAACTCTGTAAACATTAGCTGTCAGGCACTCCCGATAGACCAAGCTTGAGCTCAAAATCCCCAATAGTGACGTCATTCTGTTGACATTCAAGGAACAATTACAGCCCATTCAAGGACCAGCCACGTGCAGCCAACTACGACCTTCTACAGTTGTGTATACATTCAAAGACCACCCATGTGCAGCCAACTACGACCTTCTACAGTTGTGCATACATTCAAGGACAACCCACGTGCAGCCAACTACGACCTTCTACAGTTGTGCATACATTCAAGGACCACCCACATGTTGCCAACAATGACCATCAACAGTTGTGCATACATTCAAGGACCACCCACGTGTTGCCAACTACGACCTTCTACAGTTGTGCATACATTCAAGGGCCACCCACGTGTTGCCAACAATGACCATCTACAGTTGTGTATACATTGAAGGACCACCCACGTGTTGCCAACTACGACCTTCTACAGTTGTGTATACATTCAAGGACCACCCACGTCCAGTCAACTACGACCTTCTACACTTGTGTATACATTGAAGGACCACCCACGTGTTGCCAACTACGACCTTCTACAGTTGTGTATACATTCAAGGACAACCCACGTGCAGTCAACTATGACCTTCTACAGTTGTGCATACATTCAAGGACTACCCACGTGTAGCACACTACGACCTTCTACAGATATGTATACATTGAAGGACCACCCACGTGTTGCCAACTACGACCTTCTACAGTTGTGTATACATTCAAGGACCACCCACGTCCAGTCAACTACGACCTTCTACACTTGTGTATACATTGAAGGACCACCCACGTGTTGCCAACTACGACCTTCTACAGTTGTGAATACATTCAAGGACCACCCACCTGCAGCCAACTATGACCTTCTACAGTTGTGCATACATTCAAGGACCACCCACGTGTAGCACACTACGACCTTCTACAGATATGTATACATTGAAGGACCACCCACGTGTTGCCAACTACGACCTTCTACAGTTGTGTATACATTCAAGGACCACCCACGTCCAGTCAACTACAACCTTCTACACTTGTGTATACATTGAAGGACCACCCACGTGTTGCCAACTACGACCTTCTACAGTTGTGTATACATTCAAGGACCACCCACGTCCAGCCAACTACGACCTTCTACAGTTGTGTACACATTCAAGGACCACCAACGTGTTGCCAGCTACGACCTTCTACAGTTGTGCATACATTCAAGGACCATCCACCTGCAGCCAACTATGCCCTTCTACAGTTGTGTACACATTCAAGGACCACCCACGTCCAGTCAACTACAACCTTCTACACTTGTGTATACATTGAAGGACCACCCACGTGTTGCCAACTACGACCTTCTACAGTTGTGTATACATTCAAGGACCACCCACGTGCAGCCAACTACGACCTTCTACAGTTGTGTATACATTCAAGGACCACCAACGTGCAGCCAACTACGACCTTCTGCAGATATGTATACATTCAAGGACCACCCATGTGTTGCCAACTACGACCTTCTACAGTTGTGTATACATTCAAGGACCACCAACGTGCAGCCAACTACGACCTTCTACAGTTGTGTATACATTCAAGGACCACCCATGTGTTGCCAACTATGACCTTCTACAGTTGTGTATACATTCAAGGACCACCAACGTGCAGCCAACTACGACCTTCTACAGTTGTGTATACATTCAAGGACCACCCATGTGTTGCCAACTACGACCTTCTACAGTTGTGTATACATTCAAGGACCACCAACGTGCAGCCAACTACGACCTTCTACAGTTGTGTATACATTCAAGGACCACCCACGTGCAGCCAACTACGCCCTTCTGCAGATATGTATACATTCAAGGACCACCAACGTGCAGCCAACTACGACCTTCTACAGTTGTGTATACATTTAAGGACCACCCACGTGTTGACAACTATGACCTTCTAGAGTTGTGTATACATTCAAGGACCACCCACCCAGAGAGAGTCCACAGAAGATACCGAGGGGCGCAACAGTCCAGACCAGCCCATAGCTTGCCACCGATTCCGCCGTGCCGTTGATGTAACCGCCTCCTACTGTTGTTGCTGAAACAGATGAAGTCTTTTATTTATGACTCATGTGACACATCTGCCCCGTTCAATTCACTGAGGACCAAATCTGTCCCGTGAACCAACTGAGGACCTATTCTGCCCCATTAACCCACTGAGGACCTATTCTGCCCCGTGCACCCACTGAGGACTTATTCTGCCCTGCGAACCCACTGATGACCTACTCTGCCCCGTGAACCCACTGAGGACCTATTCTGCCCTGTGAACCCGCTGAGGACCTATTCGCCCCGTGTACCCGCTGAGGACCTATTCTGTCCCGTGAACCAACTGAGGACCTATTCTGCCCTGTGAACCCGCTGAGGACCTATTCTGCCCTGTGAACCCGCTGAGGACCTATTCTGCCCTGTGAACCTGCTGAGGACCTATTCTGCCCTGTGAACCCACTGAGGACCTATTCTGCCCTGTGAACCGGCTGAGGACCTATTCTGCCCTGTGAACCCGCTGAGGACCTATTCTGCCCTGTGAACCCGCTGAGGACCTATTCTGCCCTGTGAACCCGCTGAGGACCTATTCTGCCCTGTAGACCCGCTGAGGACCTATTCTGCCCTGTGAACCCACTGAGGACCTATTCTGACCCATGAACCCACTGAGGACCTATTCTGACCCATGAACCCACTGAGGACCTATTCTGACCCATGAACCCACTGAGGACCTATTCTGCCCCGTGAACCCGCTGAGGACCTATTCTGCCCCATGAACCCATTGAGGACCTATTCTGACCCATGAACCCACTGAGGACCTATTCTGCCCTGTGAACCCGCTGAGGACCTATTCTGACCCATGAACCCACTGAGGACCTACTCTGCCCTGGTATTCCTAATACAAGACCAACTGCTCCATCAGCCCCAGTGCACCGACCTACCGATCATGGTGAACACCCCCACTGCACCGACCTACCAATCATGGTGAACACCCCCACTGCACCCACCTACCGATAATGGTGAACACCCCGACCTACCAATCATGGTGAACACCCCAACTGCACCGACCTACCGATCATGGTGAACACCCCCACTTCACCGACCTACCGATAATGGTGAACACCCCCACTTCACCGACCTACCGATCATGGTGAACACCCCCACTGCACCCACCTACCGATCATGGTGAACACCCCCACTGCACCCACCTACCGATAATGGTGAACACCCCCACTTCACCGACCTACCGATCATGGTGAACACCCCCACTGCACCCACCTACCGATCATGGTGAACACCCCCACTGCACCCACCTACCGATCACGGTGAACACCCCCACTGCACCCACCTACCGATCATGGTGAACACCCCCACTGCACCCACCTACCGATCATGGTGAACACCCCCACTGCACCCACCTACCAATCATGGTGAACACCCCCACTGCACCCACCTACCGATCACGGTGAACACCCCCACTGCACCCACCTACCAATCATGGTGAACACCCCCACTGCACCCACCTACCAATCATGGTGAACACCCCCACTGCACCCACCTACCAATCATGGTGAACACCCCCACTGCACCGACCATGGTGAACACCCCCACTGCACCGACCTACCAATCATGGTGAACACCCCCACTGCACCGACCCACCGATCATGGTGAACACCCCCACTGCAGCGACCTACCGATGATGGTGAACACCCCCACTGCACCGACCTATCAATCATGGTGAACACCCCCACTGCACCGACCTACCGATCATGGTGAACACCCCCACTGCACCGACCTACCAATCATGAACAAACCCACTGCACCGACCATGGTGAACACCCCCACTGCACCGACCTACTGATGATGGTGAACACCCCACTGCACCGACCTACCGATCATGGTGAACACCCCAACTGCACCAACCTACCAATCAATGTGAACACCCCCACAGCACTGACCTACCGATCATGGTGAACACCCCCACAGCACTGACCTACCGATCATGGTGAACACCCCCACTGCTGTGGGCAAGTCTCGCCCCGCCACCAGACTCGCCTCCAGGGTTCTCCCCTCCTGCTGACCCTTGACCCTGATCTTCCATGCAGCGACCACACCCACCACCAATATCAGGAGGTAGAACAAGATGATGATGATAAGGCCGACCACGTTCAGCGCCATCCCAGTGGGTGAAGCGAGCACACAGGTGTATGTCGCCCGGTGCACAGCAGCCGGGTCTGCAACAGGAAGTGCAACATCTTTAACACTCACCGCCAAAAAAACACGAACCATAGAAACATATAGAGAGAAGTATGTACGTTAAGAAGAGATGTTTCCAATGTGTAACACTTAATGACAAAACTAAAACAGTCAGGCAAGTGTTACCAGTTTCTATATTCTTATCACAATATGCTGCACGTGGTTTCCAAACTACACTCTAATCCTGCATGAGACAAATTGTGCATCTCGAGTCATGGATCTATGATGTCACATGTGATGTGTCCATGAGCTTCGGTTCAAGCAACATAAAAGCATGTTCGTTTGTGCATCCAACCAGTCTTAAAAACAATTTAATAGGAGTAATTCTTCATATATTAACCAACATGTATGTTATTTGCATTTCTTTTGTCAGGCCAAGAACACAAAGCAGTTTGGCATTCCATAGGCTTGAACATAATTTAAAGTGCACAGGCTTACACCTCTTTTAGCATACACACTCACACTAGTTTGGGATGAAGTGAATGTCCTGCTCCTCTAGAGCAAGTTCAAAGGTCTACACATGGGTCGCATCGATGCCAATGATTCTGATACTGAACCATGTGATGTGAGATCCGCCTGCTTACTGTGCATATGCTTGAAGCCCGCGCATTGTTCTTGTTGATTCAAATACTTAATAAAATAGGTGATGCTTCACTTCAGGGGGATCACAGCAGCCCATGCTTGTCGTAAAAGGCAAGAAACAGGATCGGGTGGTCAGGCTCGCTGACCTGGTTGATCACTGGATTGTCTGGTCTGATTATTTACAGATCGCCATCATATAACTGGAATGCTATAAGTGGGGCAAACAAACAGCTTTTTTGAAAAGGGGGGGGGGGGTGCACAATTAAGATCTATTTATTGTCTTTGGTGGTGATTTATACAGAATAAAGATTTTTTTTGAAATAAAAAGGGGGGGGGGGGGGGGTGCGCACCCCCGCATCCCCCCTCTGTATCCGCCCATTCACCTGTGTACATTAGGACTTGAAGAGTTCATAATTTGGATGCCAAGACACTCACTTGCACCCGATTAAGGCACAAGCATAATGTCCGCATCCATGGTGCTCACTCGATACTGCAAACAGACGTTTGACGGGGAAACGATGCCCAAACCTTTGGATGGTAAAGAGATGCTTAACGGGAATCACGGGGCGTTTGAAGGGGGATCCTGGTCTGACGATCCAGCAGTAGTAGTAGCAGTAACATTAACCTAACACACACGGACATACGAACCTAGCACACACTAAGTGTCGAAGATTCACACAATATAAGGGAAGCTTTAGCCACAGCCTGGGCTAATCAGCTCTATCCTGCAGCGCCCGATACACGGCAGTCCTGCCAAACTTGTTGTTATGACATCACGAACTTAGGATACTCACCGTGGTTCTGTAACAGTCGAGCTCCGTTACGGAAACGCCCGAGTCGCGACAGTCTAGATCATGACAACACCATAGACACGAAGCACATGTTCTCCACACACCCCTCTGTCAGCTTTAATTCATTATACGCAAGTATCTCCCCATTGCGGTTCACATTCCCCAGCATTTGACATAACAATCACCACTACACTGCCACACGTGCGTAAACAATGTATGTATAAAATGCGGAATGGCAAGTTTTTCTGAAACGAAACAGGATTCATTTTGGTATCAACACTGCCTTATTTTGTCCAGCCGTTTCGTGATAAATTGTGCACTTTGGGATAAAGGCATGAAATTTGGCACAATTGTAGGTCGTGATATTCCAGATAGTGTAAGCTATGGGGGCTACCAAAAATAATGTACGCCCCATGAAGTTCCGGGGTAGAATAGGTATTCAGCATCCCATGCTTGCCGTAATTTGAGGCGACTATGATTGTCATGCGGGTTTGAGTGGTCAAGGCGCGGTGACTAGGTTGATGCATCTCATCGTATCACAATTGATGTCAATCACTGGATTGTCTGGTCCAGACTCGATTATTTACAGACCGCCGTCCTATAGCTGGAATATTGCTGAGTGCGGCGTTAAACAACAAACAAACAAACAAACAAACAAACTAAACCAATACACTATGGCCGCCGTGGAGGAATGAAATTCTTGTATATCTCTTATAAAACTGGCCAACCACCTAAATAGGTTGTGAAAAATGAACATTTTGAAATATATTTACCCTCTCACCACATCTGTAGAGAACATAACTGTTTCATAATTGACTATTTATTTTGATGTAGGTAATCTAAAGTGTGAAAATTGAAAGCAAATATGCATTTATTTCTTCTTCGGCATACACTCCTTGAAAAAAGAAACGCACAGGTACATTAGTATTGTACCTGGTAAAGTATATTTTAAATGTAATATCATAGATACACACGAAAATTTGGAGCTCGATACTCACAAAGGCATTGAAAACTGTACATTGTCATGTCACATGTCACATTGTCATTTCAAGGCCACATGTGTGCGCTAAACTCAGTATCTCGTGTGACCGCCCCGGGCAGCAATCACGGCTCTGCATCTCCTCAGTGTCATTCTGCTTGTAATGCGTTGGCCAGTTGTGGGAGTGTCTGCGGCGTGTTCTGACGTTGACGTACACGTCGATCGAGTTCATCCCAGAGGTGTTCGATTGGGTTGAGATCTGGAGATGTCGACGGCCAGGGCAAACCGTTGATGTTGGCATTATGAGGGTAGTCTCCCGTGACACGAGCTGAAACAGCTCCATGTGGCGGGCAATGATTGGAAGAAGGTGAGGTTGAAGAATTTGATTCATGTAGCGATTTGCTGTCAAACTTTCCTGAAGCACAACCAAGTCATATCTCGCGGTGTATGATATGGCCCCCTACATCATGACACTACCGCCAGCGAAATTGTCGAATTCACGTACACAATGTGGGGCAAAATTCTCATTTCGACGACGATAAACACGTTGTCTTTTATATCGCCGGTGAAGAAGAAATCGTGATTCATCACCAAACCACACTCGTCTCCATTTTCTCAAGTTCCAAGGCTGTAAGGTATAGCACCAACGCAAGCCTGCTGTCGATGGATCTGTTGCAAAACAGGGACGATAACTGGTCTTCTGGGTGAGATTCCAGCCTCGCGAAGATGGTTCCTGACAGTCTGGTCCGATATCCTTCACAAAGCAGGAATGCGTTCTGCAGTCTCCGTAGCTGTGGTATTGCGATGATGTAGGTGAAATGTAGCGATCCTGTGCAGGGGTGGTAACTCTTGATCGGCCGGTTCTCGGACGGTCTGCAGGGGAATTGAACTGTGTGTATCGGTCCCAAAGGCAGCAAATGGTGTTGTGGTGGACGTTGAAGTGGCGATTCCCCTCTTTGGAGTTTCGGCATTTTCATACTTGAGAAATGTTGACAATTGAATGACAAATTACAAATTATTGGCTAATGGTTGCCTTTTTATAGGCACTACCACGAGTTAAGTGTGAAAACAATGTCGTTTAAGACATTGCAAATCGACAATGGCTGCGTTTTGACGCACCGTTTGTCGAATATCAGGCCATCAAAAGTTTCCAATAACATACATCCAGTTTATATACCGGATTGTTTTGAGTAGTCAGATTCAGTGAACTGCACACTACCTATGCGTTTCTTTTTTTGAAGAGTGTATCTTTGTGACTTACTTTATTTTAGCCAATAAACTGTTCAAATATTTTATACTCACATGGCCAACAACAGAATAACAAAATTTGTATTCATTTAACTATTGTTATTTGGCAGTGTAATTTATGTTAAACAATGATTGTAACAGTATTACATTGTATCTGTTGCGCTTCAGTCGAAGCTCGTATTTGGACAATGATTAGTTGTTAGGGTGTAGAACTAATTAATGTAAACAGTGGTGAGGAAGATGTAATATTTAAATGTTCGAATTATATTCAAACCTTCGGAATAGCATTGGTGGTTGTCAAGAGTTACAGAAACATGTGGAATGGTCTGTAATGTTCAAGTGGACTGGACTGGTCTGGCACTGTGTAGAAAGAGCTGGAGGCTGGTTAGACTATAGAGTGGGACGGGCGCGTCCCTGTGTCATCTCACATTTCATCTGATATAACATCAAGACCAGCTTTCGTGTGAAGATCACTTTTCACCTGGTTTTCAGCCTAGGCCTATCTCGGAAGCTTGACCAGTGTTGCGACGAGGTGATTATTATTCTTGTCTTTGTCATTTCCACTGCTCTCGCATTCTGTCCTGCCATTGAACGTTGTACCACCACTCTATTGTGTACTGCCATTGAATGTTGTACCGCCACTCTGTTGTGTACTGCAATTGAATGTTGTACCACCACTCTATTGTGTACTGCCATTGAATGTTGTACCGCCACTCTATTGTGTACTGCCATTGAACGTTGTACCACCACTCTATTGTGTACTGCCATTGAATGTTGTACCATCACTCTATTGTGTACTACTGTTGTACTTGTTGTGCAGTAATTTGTATTGATTTATAAACCTAATAAATTTTGTAATTGTTGATTGTATACCACTTGTTTTTTGTTTGTTGGTCAATCATGCTGTCAACCTCTGACATTGTGGATCAATCATTCTATCAATCTCTGTTTGTCATCCCACACCGACATTGTGGATCAATCATTCTATCAACCCCTGTTTGTCATCCCACACCGACATTGTGGATCAATCATTCTATCAACCCCTGTTTGTCATCCCACACCGACATTGTGGATCAATCATTCTATCAATCCCTGTTTGTCATCCCACACCGACATTGTGGATCAATCATTCTATCAACCCCTGTTTGTCATCCCACACCGACATTGTGGATCAATCATTCTATCAACCCCTGTTTGTCATCCCACACCGACATTGTGGATCAATCATTCTATCAACCCCTGTTTGTCATCCCACACCGACATTGTGGATCAATCATTCTATCAACCCCTGTTTGTCATCCCACACCGACATTGTGGATCAATCATTCTATCAACCCCTGTTTGTCATCCCACACCGACATTGTGGATCAATCATTCTATCAACCCCTGTTTGTCATCCCACACCGACATTGTGGGTCAATCATTCTATCAATCCCTGTTTGTCATCCCACACCGACATTGTGGGTCAATCATTCTATCAATCCCTGTTTGTCATCCCACACCGACATTGTGGATCAATCATTCTATCAATCCCTGTTTGTCATCCCACACCGACATTGTGGATCAATCATTCTATCAACCCCTGTTTGTCATCCCACACCGACATTGTGGATCAATCATTCTATCAACCCCTGTTTGTCATCCCACACCGACATTGTGGATCAATCATTCTATCAATCCCTGTTTGTCATCCCACACCGACATTGTGGATCAATCATTCTATCAATCCCTGTTTGTCATCCCACACCGACATTGTGGATCAATCATTCTATCAACCCCTGTTTGTCATCCCACACCGACATTGTGGATCAATCATTCTATCAACCCCTGTTTGTCATCATCTTCCGACGGCTTTGGTCATTACTCATGCTGTCATCCTCTGGCAATGAGAGACTAGCTGATGGATGTGGTGATAGCTTGTCCTCGTACCGACCCGACACGGATCTTTTTTCACAATATTCCTGATGACCCCCGCCGTGATATTGCTGGAATATTGCTAAAAGCGGCCTAAGACAATACTCACTCACTCACTCACTCACTCACTCACTCACTCACTCACTTACTCACTCACTCACTTATGTAGCGGGAATACTGCTGACAGCTTCGTTACACAACATTCACACGCCCGTTGCCATGGTGATGATACACACTGTGACCCGGGCGGTAATGAATATATCACACCACATTCACAGTCGTACAACGTGCATGTATACCGTGTACACAGCAAGAGAACACACAAGACCAATACAAGATCTATTCATACGGCGCGTTGTTCTCCTGTTATTCAGTACTCAGTAGGAACGGGTCCGATAACATACTCACTCGCAGCGCTATAACGAGGCGTTGAGCGCTATAACGCAGAAGTAAACGAGGAAGAAAGATTGTGACAGCGCAGTTGACAGACCGCCGTCAACGCGGAAGTGAAATGCGTGACATCGACAAGCCACAGTAGAACTATCAGCGACACGGCCCGACCTACACCGCAAATAACATCATGCCGTTTAAGGGATTCTTCAAACTTTTTGGCTTCAAGAAAAATAAGGACACGGGTAGGTGGCTTTTGTTTTTCGTGATCTGGGGTACTGCGGGGGTAGTTTCGTAATGTCACTGTCGAATAATGTCCTGTTGTGAGTCTGTCACGCTGAGACACTGAGTCACATATATTAACACGAATAGCAACACTTGGACTGGATTTGAATTGTTGTTAAACGCCGCCTACAGCAAATTACTTTTAGTATGTGACGGCGGTGTGTAAATATTCGAATCGGGAGCAGCGATCCCCACCGTCGGGGCGGGAGAATACCCCATCAACCAAGTCCCTGAGTCTGACTGACCACCCGGGCTGCGTGGTCACCCCCAGACTGCAGGGTGGTCGGGAAATGGTGGTTAAAGTGTTCGCTCGTCACGCCGAGTACCCAGGTTCGATTCCCCACATGGGTACAAAGTGTGAAGCCTCTTTCTAGTGTCCCCTGCTGTGATATTGCTGGAATATTGCTAAAAGCGGCGTAAAATCATACTCACTCACTCAGACTGCCGGGCCCCCTGTCTACGTCGGGGTCGGCCTGGTCATAAGGGTAGAATGCACCCTGACCCGTGTTGACGGGTATCTGCCACCTGTATCCCTGCATGTCTCCACACATAGAGCTACAAAACTACGAGTCAGACTTTTATATAAAGGAATACACCTTGCAGCAATGTATTTTTATCTTTACACATGTTGATAGCAGGTATATTGGCCATTATCTTTACACATGTTGATAGCAGGTATATTGGCCATTATCTTTACACATGTTGATAGCAGGTATATTGACCGTTATCTTTACACATGTTGATAGCAGGTATATTGACCGTTATCTTTACATGTGTTGATAGCAGGTATATTGACCGTTATCTCTACACGTGTTGATAGCAGGTATATTGACCATTATCTTTACACATGTTGATAGCAGGTATATTGGCCATTATCTTTACACATGTTGATAGCAGGTATATTGGCCATTATCTTTACACATGTTGATAGCAGGTATATTGACCGTTATCTTTACACATGTTGATAGCAGGTATATTGGCCATTATCTTTACACGTGTTGATAGCAGGTATATTGACCGTTATCTTTACATGTGTTGAGAGCAGGTATATTGGCCATTATCTTTACACGTGTTGATAGCAGGTATATTGGCCATTATCTTTACACGTGTTGATAGCAGGTTTATTGGCCATAATAGTCATTTTGATAGCAGGTATATTGGCCATTATCTTTACACGTGTTGATAGAAGGTATATTGACCATACTTGTCATGTTGATAGCAGGTATATTGGCCATTAACTTTACACGTGTTGACAGCAGGTATGTTTACCATTATAGTCATGTTGATTGCATATCTCGCATATTGATATTCGATATAATCTCCGTTATATATGTCTAGTAATATCACATATATTGTTCGTCATATACGCGTGCTGGCATTAGAGATATGTTGTGTACAATGTGTACACTCGGAGATCACGATCTAGTCTGTGGAAGTGAGATATGTTGTGTACAATGTGTACACTCGGAGATCACGATCTAGTCTGTGGAAGTGAGATATGTTGTGTACAGTGTGTATACTCGGAGATCACGATCTAGTCTGTGGAAGTGAGATATGTTGTGTACAATGTGTATACTCGGAGATCACGATCTAGTCTGTGGAAGTGAGATCTGTTGCGTACAGTGTGTATACTCGGAGATCACGATCTAGTCTGTGGAAGTGAGATATGTTGTGTACAGTGTGTATACTCGGAGATCTCGATCTAGTCTGTGGAAGTGAGATATGTTGTGTACAATGTGTATACTCGGAGATCACGATCTAGTCTGTGGAAGTGAGATATGTTGTGTACAATGTGTATACTCGGAGATCACGATTTAGTCTGTGGAAGTGAGATATGTTGTGTACAGTGTGTATACTCGGAGATCTCGATCTAGTCTGTGGAAGTGAGATATGTTGTGTACAGTGTGTATACTCGGAGATCTCGATCTAGTCTGTGGAAGTGAGATATGTTCTGTACAATGTGTATACTCGGAGATCACGATCTAGTCCGCGGAAGTGAGATATGTTGTGTACAATGTGTATACTCGGAGATCACGATCTAGTCTGTGGAAGTGAGATATGTTGTGTACAATGTGTATACTCGGAGATCACGATTTAGTCTGTGGAAGTGAGATATGTTGTGTACAATGTGTATACTCGGAGATCTCGATCTAGTCTGTGGAAGTGAGATATGTTGTGTACAATGTGTATACTCGGAGATCACGATCTAGTCTGCGGAAGTGAGATATGTTTTCGGAGTGATAGAGTATAGCGGAGTCTCCAGGTATCCTCCGGGGTCAAGTGAGGTTTATTCACAACTGTATCTGTCACACACTCCAGGATACTCAGAGCTTCACCTGGTAGAGGTTTTCACAATTCAATTGACATAGATATGTGTGTACAGTGTATAGATTACACGGCAGACCCGTACAATGCCATACAATCACACTTGTTCACTGTGAATGTTCAACCTTGAACATGGTGATACATCAACATTTAATATATTTAGAAATTATAGTGTAATGCGGGTCCACAGTTAATATTCGAGGATATTTTAACTTGGTATATTCAGCTCTACTCACAAGGACTATACACCGATTTTAGAGTTGTCCTAGTGTCCTAGAGTTGTCCTAGTGTCCTAGAGTTGTCCTAGTGTGATGGGTTGAACACTGGGTTGGGGTAACACAAGGCCTGATGGCGGTCAGTGTCTGTCAGTAGCAGTCTAACACTCGGTGTTAATTGTGCACGATTTATCTTTTCTCCGGTTTTGAATCTCAGCTTGTGTGTCGTCATACCAGTGAGTGAGCATGGTTTTTTACGCCGCATGTAGATATATTCCAGCAGTACCACGGCTGGGTACACCAGAATTGGGCTTCAAACTTTGAACCAATGGCCAATCTACGGCGTGGCGAGCGAACGCTTTAACCACAAGACTACCCCGAAGCCCCCCCCCCCCGTCATCAAACCAAGACATAGTGGGAGTTTGCTTATAATATCAATGACTGGATTGTTCGGTCCAGACTCGATAATTTATTTATTCATACAGCTGGAGTGAGTGAGTGAGTGAGTGAGTGTGAGTGAGTGAGTGAGTGAGTGAGTGAGTGAGTGAGTGAGTGTGTGTGTGTGAGTGAGTGAGTGAGTGAGTGAGTGAGTGAGTGAGTGAGTGTGAGTGAGTGAGTGAGTGAGTGTGAGTGAGTGAGTGAGTGTGTGTGTGTGAGTGAGTGAGTGAGTGAGTGTGAAATACACCGTGTTTAACAGTAATCCAGTTATATCACGGTGTAAGCTTCACGTGGGTTGCGTCGCGTCAGGCGATGGGACCACGCCTGCCCCCTTATACAGCTGGACTATTGCAGCGTGCGGCGTAAAACAACATGTTTATGATTCCCACGTGCTTCAGTATGGCCCCCACTCAGAGTCAAGGGTGTTTGTGTTTCTCATATGGCATAAACAGATATCATCTTCCTGTTTCAAGTCTCATTATCAGAATTCATTTTTCCGGGGAAGTGTTTCCGGGCAAAAGAATACAAGCTAGAACTTGACAACAATGCAACACATTTGAATAATAGGTCACACGTACATCTGTGCAGTGCATTAAGAATGAGTTGTATTGGAACAAGGTTTTATGTGAATGTAGTTTCGATAACAGCGTGGCAGCTGAATGTCGTAGTGTGTAGTTTGGGATGAAGTGAATGTCCCGCTCCTCTAGAGCAAGTTCAAAGGTCTACACATGGGTCACATCGATGCCAAAGATTCTGATACTGAACCATGTGATGTGAGATCCGCCTGCTTACTGTGCATATGCTTGAAGCCCGCGCATTGTTCTTGTTGATTCTTATGCTTAATTAAATAGGTGATGCTTCACTTCAGGGGGATCCCAGCAGCCCATGCTTGTCGTAAAAGGCAAGAAACAGGATCGGGTGGTCAGGCTCGCTGACCTGGTTGATCACTGCATTGTCTGGTCTGATTATTTACAGATCGCCGTCATATAACTGGAATTCTACAAGTGGGGCAAACAAACATCACTCACTTACCCTACTCACCCACTCTCTCACTCAAACAGCCGCCCATCCATTCTCTCTCTCTCTCTCTCTCTCTCTCTCTCTCTCTCTCTCACACACACACACACACACACACACACAGACACACACCAGTCATTCTCAGTTAAATGGTACAAATGCAGTCGCTCAGATATGACACGGACTCTTTCCTAAATGGTACTGTATTTTAAGATACATTTCTGCGCATTAATTAGTTACGTATACCAGAAACTTAATTGGAAACAAAATAACACATAATACATGTGCAAATTATTCACAGATGTAATTTCCTAGCTTGGGGTGCCATGTTTCAATTGTCGTGAATAACATTTCCATCAAGAAAATGTTAAAATAAGATATATGTGACAATGTCAGAAATACTAAGAAGCATTCTGAAAACTTCAGTATAGTCCTCTTATTCCAATGCCAAAAATCCTGCATGTGAGCCAGAATTGAATTGTCAAAAATACTTAAATATTTTGTCGGCAGATGTTGTGAATGTAACGTTATGCTAACTTTCATGATGTTTAGCTCAATTGTTTATATCAGGTTTATTTAAAGCTGGAAGAAACAACCAAAAAGTATATACCTTGTAAAATACAACAAAAGTTATATTTGGAAAGAACTTGTTCGTCAATGAGGAATTTTCAAAGTGATTTTTTATATATTTTCATATGGCTACATTACATGACTTCCCAGTGCCATTTATCAAAATATTTTGATGTAAGAAGACTTGCCTTCACGGGATCCGTGATGAGGCTTATCTGTTGTCCTCGGGTTTAATTTCTTGCAAATGCAAATAAAAACTTTAAGTATAAAGTAGACATCTTTAAAAGTTATTGTGCGTAAAATATCTAGTTTCCTTTTAGCATCTAAAATATGCTGCATTGTCCATCAAAGGATCTGTAGGAATTGCGGTAGAATCTGTAATGTTTAACCAGGTT